AATAAGTAGATATTAATAAATAATAACGGTATTGGTAGTCTTAATAGTGATTAGTTAATTATAGCAATTATTCTGTTTGCGACCCTTTCTTTCGATTTAATTATCGCTTCTGTCGCCCTTTTTTCTTTTTCGTTTGTCCGTACATTTTTTTACAACAATGGACACTTGCGAAACGAAGCTATGATACCATAATAAGAACATTGCTACATAAAAAAAATCAAATAATTACTATAACGGAAGATAACACAAGAGGCGACTAATGAGAACAAAATATCGCCGACTAACCCCCCCGAGGAACATCAGTAACATCAGGATTTCCACAGCCTGTGTTAAGCCTAACGCGAACTATTAACGAGAAGCTATGCGAGTTTGACGATTTCCGTAACCCTTTAAACAATCTCGAGACATGAGAGGTCAACTGACAGAGATCGAGTGGAGAGTGAATCAGAGACAAAACTGACTGCTGGAAGAGAGATCGGAGTGACGCATGATCGTAGTGATGGTTGTTGAAATTTGATTGATCAGGACGCGGCAGCGGTGGATCCACTTCCGGCACGCGACCCTTCGGACAGCCTCTGGTGCTGAATCTGTCGCAGGACTCGCCGCCTTCGACGTCGACCTCGCTAAGGACACCCGAGATGGACGTGCAAGCACCACGCGGCGCCAATAAGAGACGATGACGGTGCGTCGCATCGCATCACGTCGCGTCGCGACGTCTCGGTCGAATGGCGCGTTCGCGCGAGCGCGTCCAAGTGATGCATCCTCGATGGATCCTTTTGGGAAAGAGGACATCCATCTCGAGGACACCCCCACACCGCGGCGTCCCCGTCGTTTCTCTTTCCGCTCCAGCACTATCGATTTTATTTATCTGTTTGTGCCGACCCGTCGCCCCCCTCCCATTTTCTTCCCATTACTCCGTATACGAGAGGAACACATATTTGACGAACATTCTTCGATATCCACCGGATATCTCAATATATCCCCCCCGGTGACCCCCCGGACTTTTAACGTTCGTTAACTGCCGTTTCTTGTTACACGAGGGAATGAGTATTGAATTCACAAAGAGGGCGTAATAAATATTTTATGTTACACCTGTGTTTTCACGGGTACATATAATAGCAGTATTATTAAATATTTAGAACATCTGGGTGTGTCACGGAATATTGTGGAATATACCTCCAATATTTCGAAACGTCTATTAAAACGTCGTATTGTATATGGAACAATGTCATCTACAAGTTAATTCGCTGTAACTCGACTATGTTCCGCGTGACGCGCGAGGAAACACGTATTTCGCGCTCGTTGATTAATAGTCGCTAATGGATGGAGACAGCGCGAATATCGGACAGATGCGCAAACGTGGGGGTGTCGATTCTCAGTCGAGTGTATCGATCCGGTTGTACACATGTAGGTACGCTATATATTATATCAGCAGCGATCGAAAAGCAAGTTTCTCACGCGATCGAGCGCATCACGAATGCACGATCATTGGAAATTTATTTCCTCGTCCAGCTACCTAGCTGCACGAAGAGGAGGTGGAAGTGCACTGGGGTATATCCAGATTATACGGAGAGTGCGCATGATTTCGTAGAATCACGCATAGGATCGGCGAGAAGAGTGCAAATACGTGCTTTTAATTTGAATCCGATTCGCCCAACATCACGGAGTGTGTTCGCCTATTTATCTATCGTTTATTTATTTATTCGACATCGCAACGATCATTTTGCGACGATTCATCGTGCTTAGGATTGTTTAACGATCGAACAACGAGAGAGCACCGTTTTAAAAAGTGTCGTTTCAAACTAAAGTGTAATTTGAATAAAAGTTCCAATTTGGTACATACTGATTGTTTCGATACACTATTTCGAAAATAAAATATGTATAAAGTGTAAATTTAGCAGAAAACATCAAAAGAATTTGTTCATCCAGAAAAATATCAAAAAATTCAGGTTTTAAAATTTAAATTTTAGATTGTGAAATTATCAAAATTCAGATTTTAATAAAATTACGAAATTATTATATTTCTATTCATTTTTGCGGATTATTAATTTATCGATTTTTTAAAATCGATTTAATTAAGACTTTTCGTGGTTTTTGTTCTTGTTATTTTATTTTAGTGTACTTAAATGTGATTTATAAATTCCAATTCGAGGAAAATAGATTGAAGAAGAAATAAAATCTTGCTTTCAGCAGAAAACTTTTCAAATAACATGCGTGGACAGATATTGAACTTTAACAAATATTAAATCGCCAAAGCGAGTTTATTGCTTCAGCGAACAGGAAAGCAATCGCAGTTTGTGGTTCGTTACGTGCGTATGTAAATACAATAACCTGCGGAAAACAATTTACCCTTTAATGTCGATTTAAATCGTGTATAACATGGCCACTATCACTTTTTACGCTGATAGCAAACGAGGCTATTTTATCGGTTCTACCGTGCACGGCGCTCTTTATTATCGCAGCAAACGGGATTTGTCTCGCGTTTATTTCAATCCCCAATACGCGGTTGTTAGGTCACTTATATGGGTCTTTTTCTCGCGTTTATATCTGCTTTCGGAGCGTGTTCGGAGCTAAAAACGAAAATAATCTTAGGACAGATAAACGCATAGCTCCGCGTTGTAAAATTTAAAAAACGTGCTTTTATATCAGCGGTAAAGCGATTATAAAGTAAATATTTAACAGTAAGCTTAGAGAGACGTCGAAACGCTTTTATATCTTATTCGTTGCGAGAAACGCTCGTTTCTATCGCCACGGAAGACTCGTCAGTTGGATTTTTGTGCACCGAGTATTGTAGGTTTCCTTATTATAATTTAAATTATCGTCGTATACACAACTGTCGTATACACTGTCGAAATACGCGATTAGAAGAAGAAGAAGAGAAAGAAAGATTGAAAATATGTATTGTTTAGAATAATAATAGGACCAATGGGGTTAATTGTTTTGCAGAGAATTGTTATCTTAGGCGCACACCGCGAAAATGTTATCTGCAAATTTTTTCCGACAAAAGCATATGTAAATATTGTAAATAAAAATATTATTTTCCGCAATTTCGATATTTTCTATATTTCGTCGCGAGTCGTGTCCCGTTATAATTGTATGCTGCTTGTGAGCTTCTTATTTCAGTGTATTAATTATGTTAAGTAATTAGTGCATTTGCAAAGAATTGATTGTCCTGCTTGCTCGTGCAGCCGGTATTTCCATGTTCGACGCTGACGATCGATTATTTCCTTTAAGATAGAGACGTAATTAGCCGAATTTTATTTGTAAAAATAGAATTATTTATCGCTGAATTAATTACAGAGATTCATTAACTCTCCATAATCATTGCTTCTTCTCATAATTTTCTTATATTCAATATTGAGTTTTAATTGAAAATTCTAAAAAAAAATTCTATGAGTAGAAAAGAAATCGAAACTAAACAAATATTCAGATTTTGAACTTCTAATGGTCAATTCCAGGATTAATTCTACAATATAGGCTGTCTCTAATTATTTAAAATATAATTGATGACGTCTGTTGAAGAAAGATATCGCTTCTAATTTTTCGTCAAGAAATTCGATTTTTATTAAAAAAAAAAGACTTATCGAAACGGTTGAGAATTTCATGTTTTCGGAGATTTTTTTATAAATCGCGATTTATATATTTAATTTTCGACGTCAGCGTGGAAAATGCGACTTCTTATTATGGCTAACACATTTCTAACCGATAATTACGAAAAACCATCAAGCACCGCATAGTCCGCAACGTAGACGCGAGAGGTTGAACCTGCGGATGAAGAGCCTCAGCCTGGACTCGCCGGAAGGCAGCGCGCACGTGCGGCATCGCCCGCGGGATTACTATGCTGCGGGTCCACAGAGAGAAACCACACCGCCCCGACATTCTGACAGCGGCAGTATCAACAGGCTGTGTGAGTAACCGCAGGCACAACAATGTAATGTATATAACATTAGGTTGATGCATTTGAAATGGCCAATTTTGCAGGGGAGCGCTTCTCATCGTAAAACTGTTTAAAAGCTCATTTAGCTAAACTTTTGTCTCAAGAATTTAGTTATAAAAGTCTCGAGTTACTAAAATTAATGTATTTTTTCTTCGTACTATGTTATCGCGTGTAAGCGCTTTTCTAAATTTGTATTTTAATTCTCGGATTTAAATTTTCAAGTTACAAGAGACGATATTAATAAAATGCAAAATACTAAAAAATTTACATTTTATTTTGTAATTTGCAAGTCGATACGTTGTAATAGTGCAGTTCGTAATATGAATCCGATACATGTATTGCAGAAAGAGAGGTATTAAAAATGAAATACTAAATTTTAGTACGTTGCATTCAAGACGTGTATGAGTGAATTTTTAATACGTGACCTTTTCGCTTAAAAAAAAACCCCCATTTTGTCGAGATAAAATTAGTTGCTCGCTTCAAAAGACAATGATATATGCAGAACAATAGAGAACGTATCTAATAATAAGACACGACATCACTTTGTCCGGGAATATGAAATGACCATTTCGCATCAACCTAATTAGCTTTTGAACAGTGTACAAGCCGCGGATTCGCGGATGCGCGAATATTATTTTCAGCGCCCTGCAGCCCGGGTCAGAGCCACGGTATACACAAACACGTGCGAAGTACCATCCGGATGTCCAGCATGGAGCTGCCGGACGACAACGAGAAGTCGTACTCGTCGGCGAGCACGTCGCCGTGCCCGTCGCCGCACACCAACAATCAGAATCATCTGAATCCACCCGGCAAGCGCGTCCTGCCGCCGAACAATCTCTACGTCGTTCTGTACAACTTCGAGGCGCGGCATCCAGACGAGCTGGATCTTAAGTAAGCGAACTTGTCTCGCGTAGCATGGAAAAAACCAGCGTTCCTCCCTTTCATAAATCTTTACAATAATTTAATAATTAATCACGAACACTTGCGCTCAAAAAGATGCATAGGAAATCTTAAGTAAGAAATATTTTTATTTTTACCTTGATTTTTTCCAATTTTGTCTTTTATGTATATATACTCAATTATATGTATAATTATCACTATATTATTCATATCAACTATATTATTCAAATCACTTGATTAGTTTATTTTGGGAGTAATTTTTGCATGCGATTATTCAGATTATATGGAGCATTTAGTTTGTTTTGGGACTAATTTGCATAATTTTAATTTTAAAAATTCAATTTAAGAGTAATTATAATTTTTCAGTATAAGTACCGTAAACGTTCTTTCGCACACAAATGTTCGTAATTACGTCCACCAAAGTTACCGCCATGCAATGATAGAAATTGTTGCAAATGACGATTTTGATTGCATAAATAACAAGTGAATTGACTTACCGGTCGATGCATTGCCAGCTACTTTTCTGCTCCTCTGTTGCTCCTTGCTCCTTGTTTCTTGTTCCTTGTTCCTTGCTCTTAGTTATTGTTTTATCCCAAACAGTTACACAAAAATTGTATAATAGCACGCACTGATTTATCATTAACTCGTATTATTTCAGACGACATTGTTGATTTACTCGCGCACTTTCACTACTCATTTACTCGCATGCATTTCGATGCACTCGCGAGATTAATAAGAAATAAGTTATAATACGATTACGCGATATTACTAAATCACGCGGATTGATTAAATCACTACGATCATTACTTTTGTCCGTTATTTTCTACGGCACTCCCGGAAGCCGCATTTAAATGAAGCGATAATCATCGATTTGTTCGGCACTTTCATTTTTTCTCTCCGAATCAAATCAGGTTTCGAAAAATCGCCAAAATCCGCTATCGACTATAAACTATATCTATAAATAACAAGACGGTGATATTTTCTTTGACGATATCTGTTCTCTGACGATACTATATGCTTGTTTTTACGCGATGTTTTTCCCAGATTTTAATTAATCGTAATTTGATACAACGGGAAAATCCAACAAATCCTATGTCTGTAGCGACCACAGCAATCTCACTAGCCAATTATTACTATATATTTCTGTCTAAAAAACATCGCAAAATATATCGGAAAAATCTGCCAATTAATTCATACAGATAATTTCATAAATATAGCAATTACGACAAACTACTAATTATGTAAGTAATTAATTACAGTTTCCAATCCACGCGAACAATTAATGAATGATAATCGTGGCTAAAATCAAATTTGATCGCGATTACTGTAAATCACTACATGCATAAATATCTCATATTTATCAAATATTACATTTATTTAAATACTACACATATATAAATACT